AGAGTTTAGCTATTTGCCACTAAAATGTATAACAAAGCAGCGCTTGGAAGAGTCTTTAACACCTGTGATATTAATATTTTCTTTCCAAAAAGTCAAGGAAATGATAATCACATCTGCTGTTGTGTAAAACTTGAGCCGTATTACTGCATTCCAGAGGCCCAATTCAAGTACCACTTCCAGACTTTCTGTACACCGGTACTTCTGATTCATAAAGCACTGAGACCTGATCCCAGGGTAGCATTTGTGCTCTTGTACTCATGTTGTGTGGTCAATTACCAATCCATTCTGTTTCCGGACATACATCTCCACTGCAGAGAGGCTGATAGTGTAGTGTACAACTCACGAGTGGAGGAAAAAGAAGCGGCTCAGCAGGCTTATGACCATGCCAAAAGCCAGGGGCAGACAACTGGACAGGTCAAGCAATCGTAAGTTGGTTTTACATATATATGCACAAACTGTACTGACTGAACTGATTATGAGAACTATGAAGAGGAAAATTGCTGGTAGGCTGTGCATGTACCGGTTTTTACACCGGCTATTGCTGTAGTGCATGCATGGGTTTTGTACACTTTCTCGAAAGGTGTTGCACTTTGCTAGTGCATTAGATTTTCATTTCATGCTCTAAATGATGGATTGTAAAAACGAACCAAGCAGTGTTCACTATTCACATAATTATCCTCTTTTTTACACTCTGGGGATTTGAGTTGGACAAGTATGCATTCATGCCTTTTTCTCTCAATTAAGGTCGGAAGAGAAGAATGACTTCACCATATCCATCAATGTTGAAGCACTGAGTGAGCTGAAATTCAACCTGACTTATGAGGAACTTCTGAAGAGGAAAGATGGATATTTTGAGAATGTCATTTCCATTTCTCCAGGCCAGGTCAGCTTCAGAAAAGTTAGCTTTGACAAGCCTGGCTTGTGGTTCAGGACACCCAATGAACAGTTTGAGAGCTGTATAAGCAGTTAAGGCCTGTTAAGCTAAACCCCACATGTTTTGTGGGTGGGTGGGGGGTTGGCTTTCTTTTTCCCCAGTTATGTCTTTTGCTTTCAAGAGCTTATGTTACTCTATTTTTGAAAGACAGAATGTATCCCCAAAAGTATGCCAAGCTGCCAGGATTAACCTTATGTCAGGCCCCTTCCCTTCCTTTTGTGAATGCTAGACAATGGGCATCCCCTTTTTGTAAATGGATGATTTGTTTCTGATATTCTACGTGGATAAATCTTTCTCTGTATTTTATGAGGGTTGAATGCATAATTTTAGATTAAAGTCACACTGTTTAACTTTAAAGCCACTGTTTAACTTTTACTCCACTTGTTTGCTGCGTTTGTAGACTGTTGAACATCTGGTTGTAGATGTGCATATCATCGAGCCCCAGGGTATCCAGGAGGAATCTGTAGACTTCTTTGTGAAGAAATTCAGCCCGGACGGAACTGCTGAGGTTCAGCGCCCGGATTGGGCACTGGTGAAAGGTTTGAAGAGTGATCAAGTCAGTGTCCAGTTCTTCCCAACTCCCGAGCAACAAGAGGCTCTGTCTGCCAGTGGCAACTTGGGCAAGTTCATCGTGCGATACGATGTCATCCATGGGCAAGATGCTGGGGATATTCAGGTAAGAGACTCCTCTCATATTGCCAACTTTCAATACAGGTGGGCAACATCTGTTACAGGGTGCTTAAAAAGAGAAAACCGAGTTAAATTAATCTGTTTTTTGCATGTGACTAATTATTGTTGGAAATGGTCAATATAATCTGTTTCAGCATGACTTCCTCTTTCATATGACACAAAGAAATCCAAATTTCCATCATACATGGCTGAGCACGAAGTGATTTAATGGACCATGTCAGAAATGGCTTTGCACCAGATGCATCACAGGTTTGCACAGTGTAAAGTAAATTAAAATGTATTTGTCCCAACTGTGGCTATGATGTTTATTTCATATTAAGAAGCGTGGCAATTCTGAGCAAGAGTCAAAACTTCAAAAGAAAACTCCATGACAGGGAAACACTTCCAATGAAGAATCAGTAACAGAGTTTAGGTCCTAACCAACTGCCCTCACATGATAGAACAAGATCTGTGGCAATTACTCAGTGTCCATCTCTGTTGATACTTGTGATTTTCTTAACAGTCTGTGGATTAATTTTTGGCTTCTGTACTGATGGCCAGCCATAGTTTACCGGCCCCTTGTAGTTTACCAGCCACCCTCTGTGATACAGAAAGAGAGAGGTCTATCGGTGTCCTCATCAAGCTTTACTTTGTTACTTCATTCATTCAGCTGGTAGTCCAAACCAAAATTTGTGCCTACCTCCTGTCAAAAAGTAGCTTGCAAATTGCACCCCATGTCCACTTTATTAGTAATTGGTTGAAAAAGAGTCTGGAGTAATTAAGCATGTATACCTCACACGCATGCACTGACATCACAAGACAGCTACCCTTAAATCTGCACTTCCTTCACCAAACTTGGTGGAAGATGTTAGGGCTTATAAACCCTCTTTTTGGGGGTAGTTTGTTAGATTGAAGATAACCAATGCTCTTTTGGAAAAGGAATATACCCCCATATTTCAGATAGATTTCCACAGGCATTAGTCTGCATGCCCAGGTGACTTTCTGTAATCTCTTGACCAAATAAATAGATATAGTTACTGGGAGACTTTGAGATCGTGGTGGCAGCAGACACGCGGTGGCAGCAGACAGCAGTGCCTTTTCAAGGTATTGCACATGCTCAGAACAATGTGGGCATGCTCAGACCTAGTAAAAAGGGCCCGTATGTTTGTTGTTACCAAGCTTCTTAAAGTCCCGCGTTGTTTGTAAGTTGGCAAAGGCAAAACAAATTCTTTAACACTGGAGAGTTGAGACTCCAGAAGCACAGCCTGAAGATCCTCAAGATGCATATTACTAGTACAATTATAAATGTAATTTATATTACAAGTAAGTAGCATGGATTGTTTTGAAAAACTATTTAAATTGTTGATCCCCAAAGAATTGAGCCCTGTGTTCTCATAGTTTTGCGAGCGTCTCTGATCTAGTGTAGTACCTACAGTTATTGTAATAATAACCACTATTTATGGAAGTAACATTGCATTCAGTAGTTTGTTTGATTTTCTTATTACTGCACAGATTGTCAATGGCTATTTCGTGCATCATTTTTCCCCGGAGGGATTCAAGCCCACACAGAAGAGTGTCGTGTTTGTTCTGGATACCAGCGGGTCAATGAGTGGAACAAAAATTCGGCAAACCAAAGAGGCCATGGACACCATACTCTCAGACCTGAGGGAGATGGACGAGTTTGGTATCATCACTTTCTCCTCCTCAACGCGGGCTTGGAGGCCTAGCATGGTACCTTCTACTAAGGATAACATCAAATCTGCAAAAGACCATATACAAGGGCTGCAGGCCGGTGGAGGTCTGTACATAGATGCATTTAATGTTTTAGGGCTAACAACTTGCTGCATATATGAAGATTAACTTGTGGAGGAGAACCTTTCCTGCAATCATATTTTGAATATTTTATAGAGAAAACCATTCTCTTAATAAATGGATCCTTAAAACTAGGCTGATCAATAATCATGGTTTCCACAGGTACCAATCTTCATGGTGGCATTGTTGATGCTATAGCCATGTTGAAGGAGGCTCAGGGTAATTCCCTGTCAACTGTAGGTAAGTTCTACTTAATCATCATGCTGACAGACGGTGTACCCACGGCTGGGAGACTGACTGAGCCAGAGGGCATTAAGGCCGACATCCGCCGCCAGCTGGAGGGACGTTTCTCCCTGTTCTCATTAGGCTTCGGCGAGGGTGTGCGCTACCCATTCTTGGAGGAGCTCTCTCTGCAGACCAAGGGCCTAGCCCGCAAAATCTATGCAGACTCTGATGCTGGGCTTCAGCTGGTGGGCTTCTTTGATGAGGTGGCTACCCCTCTTCTGGTCAACATTCAGATCAAATATGATGAGAACATGGTTGTCACTAACAGCATCTCAGAGACTAACTTCCCAGCTTATTTCGTGGGAACAGAGCTTGTGGTAGCTGGAAAGCTGGTTGCCAACGATAGCCTGCCAAACATGCTGACCTGTGTGGTGATTGCTGAAACTGGTGGGGTTGAAATAGAGCTGGAGGTTGAAGTAAATGTCCAGGTTTGTTGAGGAAAAATCTAACTTTCATCAACTTTTTTTTTGGCAGTAAGCCTGTTTTAGTAGGCTTCACAAACATAACTTATCAGGCCAAAGTATTGCTTTTTACATTGGCAAATGAACTGTCTTAAATTAGATCAAACGACAGACAAGTTCACAAATTTCACTTGTCAAAATGGGGAGTTTCACATTTCAACTTTTAACTTTTGTAATTTAATAGGTTTATACATGTACAACAACAAAGTTAAGGGACCTAGATATATGACTTTACAGGTTTCATAGATGGCACAAAGTCAACAGTGCCGATATACACATCCCATGTGCCTTGGATCTACATACTTGATAACACCCAGTGGATGTACACAATGGAAAGTTTAGTGCATTCTCTTACCCCTTACAGGAAGAGAGTCTGGGTGTTCTCAGCCCCAACGCTGTAGATGACTTTGCCCAGCGGCTGTGGGCTTTCTTGACCATCAAGGAGCTTCTCCAGAGGCGTATTGCTGCACAAACAGACGAGGAGAAGAATGCCCTGACAGAGAGGGCTCTGGAGCTCTCCCTCAAGTATCACTTTGTCACCCCGCTAACGTCACTGGTCGTGGTCAAGCCGAATGAAGATGAGCCCGTTCTACCGGTTGTAGAACCCAGAGTTTATCATGAAGAGACCGTCGACATATCTCATTATAGGCGTATGTTCCATTTTTTGGATGTCATTGGCAAAACTAG